GAATTCTGATCTGAATTAGATAATTTACATAACAAAGATTGAAATACATTCAGCTTATTTGTATTGTTTTTTAATGCTAATGCATTTTTATTCAGAAGTTCAAATGGGAATTTACGAATTTCTTGGAAAGTTTAAGAAATGTTTAACCACTTTCTCTCTTTCTGTCCGTCTTTCTCCCTTACAATTGACAATTCAAGATGAAGGAAATTGTGAACTTTTCATCTGCCTTTGTAGAGAATCTTTTGTAAATTCAATTTGTTTTTTAACTGCACATTTTCGTTTTAAAGCAAACATTTAAGGTGCCATCTCTTCTTCGGAGCTTTGACTATGGAGACGCATTAAATCCGTTTTATGCTTTATCTTTTAAATGAGATTATTCTAAAAGAAGTGAATATTTAACGCTCTTATTTCTGGAACTTTATTCTAGACAAGGAAACGAGTTTACTACTATTGCTTGGAAAAGTCTTTTGTGTTAGTTAAATGGATGTTTTAAATTGGATGCAATTTTAAAGTATGTTATTTACGCCTATTATTAATTAGTTTTTAAATGACATGATCTGCTTTTACGAAAATTCCTTACACAAATGTTTCCAAAGAATTTTAAATAAAGGTGAAACAAGTTCGGATATATTTTTTTCTAAAATATAGGTTTAAATTTAATTTTTTAACTGGTTTGTGACAAAGTTTTGAGATTAAAAGAATGCCGTAATAAAACAAATTAATATAACATATTTAAGATAAGGAAAAAATTAATGTTAGTCTAGTGCTGGTGTTGAATCAAGACCTTTATATTGTATAAGTTTTTACGCTTCTCTACTCATAAAACAAACTAAAGTAACATATTTAAGATTAGAAAAATTACTAATGTTAGTCTAGTGCTGATTTTGAATAAAGACTTTTGAATAAATTTGCATGCTTCTCTAACATTTATTAGTTTATCAGTAAAATCAAATTTGCTTTTATAACATGCAAACGATTTTATTACAGCTGAGTGTCTGGCTCAAAACCTGCCAGTCTGAAGAAGATTTTTCTGATCACTCTTTCTTTCAACTTGTTTTTTTTTCTTTTAGTAATAGGATAAGTAAATATTTTTTTAAAAAATAGGTCCTGGCTATATTTTAAATGCTCGTGTCAATTAATAAATTTTAAGGGGACTTTATAGCAAAAGCTAGACCGTACCGTGTTTAAAAAATAATCCTTTATTCAACATTAAAGAAAATTTTGTGAAAGAAACCGGAATTTCTTTGATAATCATTTCGTCAAAAGAACTCATTACTTTGTTCGTTAACTGAAAGCTTTAACATTATTTAAAATTATGTGTAGCTAAATTAAATGCAATGTGAAATGCAATCTGCTGTTCTTAAAAAAAAAAAAAAAAAAAAAAAAAAAAAAAAAAAAAAAAAAAAAAACATGGAAAGATTACTTTTAAATATGTTACTTTTTCAATTTCATTGAATTTTCTGTTTCCTAGAAAACAAGTATTTTTACGCACAGAGGAGTCGCATTACTTTTATGTAACTGCTTCTGTTTCTTTTCGTATTTTATTCTCCTGTCTACTGTCGTTATTTTTTACCCATCTTGAAGAAAGAAATTTACTAATTATTTATTATAAACTGAATAAAAACTTTAGTGATTAGCATTTAAAATGTGGTTGTCGATATTAATTAATTTTTGGAACCGAGTTTTTGGATCTCAGTTGAGTTGCTGTACTTTTTTCTTTTGATAATAATATTCATTTTAGTCATCTGTATCTTCTCATTTTTTTTATTTCTATTGCTGGCTCTGAATTTTACTGATTTTGAGTTGTACATAGATAAATCAAATTTTGGTTTATCTATATAAAACTTTACTTTGTTGTTTGGCTAAATTTTTATTTGATTTTTACCTAGGCTAAATTTTAACCTCAGTACATTTAGTACTTAGTAATAGTACATTCTAACTTAAGCCATATTTTGATCTGCTTCTGACAAGATTGTAAATATTTCCAGAAGTCAGGTTAAGTAAGCTAAGTTATAGCATAATTAAATATAACAAAATTTCAAGGATTTACTTTCGATTTCAATCCATAAATTTACCCGTTACTATATTTTACGCAATAATTCCCCGTTACTATATTTTACGCAATAATCTGAAAAATATCAGTATTAATATCTTAATATTGAATAAAAATATAAGCGTAATCATAATAACTATTACGCTTTGAATATGTTTCCATATTTGCTTTTAGGATGTGCTGCGTCTCTTTACGGTTTAATATTTTCTGATATTAATTCAGTAAACAATTAAACAAGCATTACTCAACAATGCGTCTGTTAATAAGATTTAATGTTATTATTAAGTATTTATAAGTAATTTTTATTTCGTTATTTACAAGTTAAATATAATAATCTGTTATTCTTAGACACCTATCACATGCACTTTTCGTAGCCGGAACACGATGACGAAAGAAACATCTCTCAGAACGCTGTTCCACGAAACCGGATTAGCATTTTCACTTGATAAACAGACTTGAAAGCCAAAAATGAATAAGTTATCGCTCAGATTGTCGAAAGAGACGTTTGCTTTCAAATTCCGTGTATATACAAAATATATTTTGTAATTATTTCAATACTGTTGGCCCAATATCTTGGTAAAATGACATGTGTTTAATTGTTACTTTTAAACTGTATATTTTTTACTCGGATTCTTGTAATGATCTGTTGTATATATTTTTGTAAATGCTTTTATATCGTGCATTCAGTGATTTTTCATTATTTCTGATGTTATTATTGTAAAGAATATTTTTATATCCATATATTTATTTAATTACTTTTATGTACACAATATAATGTCATATACTGGTGTATGTTTTGTGATGAGTGAAAATATTTATTTTATCCCAAAAATGTTAAATATTTCGTAAAGGCTGCTTGCTCAGCTTTTGGTTAAGTTCCCAAGCGAACTACAATTGCAAAGATTGTGTGTAAATGGGTGAATTTTAATGACTCGCGTAATGCACAAAATGCAGTTCAGTTATTATTCAGCTGTTTATTCCATATCCATGATAATGTACAAAGCACTGATGACTACAGTTGCTGCCAACTACATAATCGTTATATGAATTAGAAGTAACTTCAAGTAAATATTTTGGCAATGTTCATTTGTGTATTCGTACATATATATATATTCGCACTAAATGGATTTAAGGAACAGTTAAGACAACATTCTATATATATATAGATATATATATAGATATATATAAATATATATATATTATATGTATATGTAGTATATGTAATAATAGAATTCCATAGTCACGAATACACTTAAAATTCTAACTGTGGTTCTTTTCATTTTTAATGGCGACGGTCTCTTATTGAAAGTACGGAAATTAATCACAGCCCCGCAGTCAAAGTGTTTTTCCCGCCTTTTCACGCATACAGTTATAGAATGTTCTGGAAATTTAAGCGAACTGGATTGGCGACGAATGACGTCATTCCTTGAAGCCATTTTGCCAGAGGCTATAAAAGGACGCAAAGAATATCGGGGGCGTTTTTCTTAAATGTAACGAGGCGTAAATTCACACAAAAAGTTATTAGTAATCTTTTATCTACTCCGGATATTTATTTGTAACGCTATTCTCCTGAATAAAATAAATGGTCCCTTTTTTAACCTTATCGTGATAATTTAATTTAAGTACACAAAGCATTCAAAGTCAATGTTGAGATACACATACAGAGGAGAGAGGCGTGGTTTAGAAGTTGTTGTATGTTATAGTATTAATGTAATGAATAAGATTTATAAAATGATGTATTACAAATGGATCATCATATAATAAATCCATAAATTTCCAATGTTTCAATATGTAGCATTTATATTAAATTATAGTTTTTAAGTCTAAAACATATTTAATTAATAGCATGAAAATAATAGTGTACACATTTAATGTGCATTCTCATTAATACATAGCTATGTTTTCCTTTTTTACGCACATTTTATGTTGTTTACAGTATGTCGCTGATTATGCAAGTTCAATTTAAAAGTAGTAAAAGTAATTAACAGAAAAATTAAGTCGCTCAAATACAAACAGATAAAAAAAATATTCACCTTAAATTTAATTTTAAAAAATTCTATTTTATAACAATAACATTTCTTTTCACACGATCAGAAAGAAATACGGCAAATTTGACGAACTTTTGAAGACGAATAATTTGTAAACAAATCATCTTAAATAGCACGACATAAAATACTGTCTACTCTGAAATTTACAGGATTATAAATTTAATGAATATATAAAAATTTTAAATTGACGTAGGCAGTTATACTACAACAAAACAACAATATTTATGTATATGTATGGCGTTTTCCGTATTTCTTCAGTTAAAGCGGCTTCGGTTTCAACCGTTCCAGGACCTCACAGTTGCAGCCATCGCCATATTGAAAAATTACCCCTGATCCTTCAGAAGTAGAACTTTCGTCTGATTAGTTGATCTCTACTTGGAAGACAGCTGCAAACGAAACATTTTCGGAAAAGTTTCAAAATGTTCTTTATAGCCGGGACATTCCTTCCTCAGCTAGACAGGACATTTCTCGGATTGGATTGGATTATTCAGTTATGGCAAAGCACACGAAGGGCTATCTGCCTAAAGGGAGGGATGCCTTCGTGGAGGACTTTCTAAGGGAAACTGGCTCGTATACACGTTATACATGGGGAAAACCACGAAAACGCCCGTGCAGCCAGCCCGTTCGCGGGATTTGAATCTCGAACCGATCTACCAGTGTTCAGCATCTTTACCGCTCGGCCGCTGGTGGGCTGGACATTTCTCGGAAAGTTCCCATTAAACCAGTGTTACTAGAATGTCATTTCTCGGAAATGTCCCGCCTAGTCGCCCGCATCGCTAGATATGATAGGTGTATTACGTTATTTCTATACAATTTTAATTTAAAAGTATTTTCTTGGTTGTAAAATTACAGCTGTACAGCTGTTATACGTAATATTTACTATTTTCTTTTTTCCCCAGGGTAAGCTTCACATTGGTGTACCCGAAGGTACATCTTCAAGTGAGAAGGAGGGAGGTGGAAATTCTAATATTTTAGTCCAACAGATACGAGCCTATTGGAGATGCTATGAAAAAGTTCGTACCAGGCCTTCTGCGAGTGCAGCGGGAGACAAGATCAACGGTTAGTGTGCATTTATCGCTTAGTAATTTTTAATCATTTAGGCATTCACTTAGCAAATTCGTATCCAAGTGCATTAAAATGTGATTTGGATTTGATTTGGATGAATAAATAAGTGGAATGATTATACACACTTGCAGATTGTATTATTGTTAAATAATCTCCTTTCGCTTCAATACATCTCTCTGAGCTGACTGGAACTTTCATTTTCCTTTTTTCAAAGATCTATGATTGGTTGCGTAAACTCCTCTTGAACGGCTATAATGATACAGGAGAACATTAAAGATAAATTTTGCCTACAACTGGGATGCCTCAGCAGGTACCGTACGCCTTACCTGATAGACATTTTTACTTAGACTTACACGGTCTCCAAAAGCTGTTCAGAACTTGGGAGCTTGAGATACCTTCTTCTCCACTAAAATATTGAAATAAATCTTTATTTCATGGACGAAATCACTTGCTTACCCATTACTCCATTACTTACGCGTGAATGTCGTGATTGAACTGTCACTGTTATGTATGCAACAGGTAGTGGTCGGAATAGCTGACATCATTTACTATGTTACAAGATTCACCAATCCAGATCACTGAATGTTTTAACATTACTAGCTTAGGAAAATAAAGAGATTTCTCTTTCATTTATTCAGTTGCGTGTTAGAAACTGTTTTAAAATATCGTAATAAAATAGCACCATCGGTCTCCAAGGTAATGGGATTTATCTAATACTCCCCTGCAAAGTAGATGTGGTAGGATTCTAAAAATCATATGGGCTACCGCTGAACTTCCAAATCTCTCTTTTATTTATAGTTCGTTGTTTCATGTGTTTAATGTGCATTACAAAATACTATGGCTAAGTAATACTGCTTACGAACATATACTGTGATATAAAGTATTATTCGATGACGGTTTGAAGTTTTCTGGGGCTGAAGAGAAGCGCAGTATCAGAGAGCTTGAGCCTCAGGCCTAGAACGAGAATAGCATCTAGCAAACTTCGGTCTGCCTGCGAAAGATATTTAACGTTGTGATTATAGCCATCCTTGACCGATATGGGACAAGATAACTTCTATTACATAAGACTTTAAATTAATTTACTTCAATTAAGATTATTAAGCAAGAAATAGAGGTAGGCATTCTTTCCAGATTCTACCGAAATTAGGGTGTGTAAAATGTCAAGCTATACCATTTACAGATACGAGATTAATAAGCAGCAAGTAGCGATTTTGTCTTATTTTTATTCTTTAAATTTACCAAACCTAAATTATGATTTTAAATAAATTTTAGTTTTAATTTTGCTTTGTATGTTTATTTAAAATTTTGAGGTTGTTATTTTAATATAACAATCATCAACAGATTTAGAGATTCTCTAAGAGTTAGAAAATATATCTAAACAACTAGAGTAATTATCCACAGATAAAAAAATATTAGTTTAATAGAAAAGTTTCAAAATATCATTATTAACTTGAATATTAAAATTAAAATTCGCATAAGAATACATGATGAATCATATCATCATTTGTAAAATATTATGTGTTGTTAAATCCATACAAATGACATTCTATAAAGACATATAATAGCTCAGAAGAAGAATCCTCATTTAGAGACAAGGAAGAAAAATCAATACATTAATCAATCTTGAATTTTGATACGTCTATTAAATTACATCAGTGCCACAACAGATTTCAGATCAATCATTTGACATTTTTCTTCCGAGAAGGAAAAGATGGGGAAAAAGTATCAGCTTACATCGCTAAACTTTTAGATTATCTTTATAGGAAAACATGAATTGTGTCGGCATGTTCAAAGACCACTCGTGAGTAATGAGGCGTTTGAATAATTTTCATCCTTGGCCGTTACGCTATTTTAGCCTGAGTCTTGTTCTTTAGACCTGGATCAACGTTTGTGAAACAAGTATACTTCTATCTGCAATAGATTTTACACTTTATAGCTTGACTAAGAACATCCCTTTGTGTTATATTTATAAACTGAAATGAGATAATTCATGTGTTAATGATTCCTTTTGAAGTTATCCGTATTCCAGCCAGAAAAGCTTAGCATAATTTGCAAGAGCAAAGCTTGCAATAGTTATCTGTTTAGAGTAAGAGGTGATTTCTTGGAAGCCGTCCTAAGAAAAACTGATTTTTAGGAAAAACAGCGAGAATCTGCTCCTTATTATACCTCAGTATAAGTGTCAGTGTTAACTGTTTCCTTCGACTAAGGAGGCCTAAACTTTAAGAAACTGGAGAGCATGGGAATTCCCAGTTTCGAGCACAAGGGAGTAGTTAATAACTTATGCTAACCATGCATAAATCTAGATTTATTTGGACATCGTGTAGGAGGAAGATTTTGTTAATTATTTCTCACCTAAGTTACTAAAGCACCAAAATTTGTCTGTTGGGATTTACGATGTAAACAAACAACCACCAGCAACTTTGAAGCATAACCTAACATTGTACAGAAAGAAATAAAAAGACGAAAATGAAATATTTTCACACAGTGGATCTCGACAGAGTTTTTAGTGTTCTGTTTCTTATTTCTCCCCTGATGTGAGAATGTCATTCTTTCTCCTTAGGGATTTTATTATAATTTCGAAAATTAGTCTATTGGCATTTTGCCCTAGAAAAATGAAAAGGTATTGTCATTTGAAGGAGAGATTCATTACAAACATTGTCTGCAAACTATCCAGTCAAATGCTAAATGCATAACTACGTTCTCATTAATCCTTTTCTGCATTAAATACGTTCACAAATCTCCATGTGACCTCAATTTAAGATGAAATATTATCACAGTATTTTTTTTTAACTTTGCTCAGTTTAAATATGATATTTTATAGTATACACTTTTTTAACTTCTGTGGTCCTATTCTTAAACTAGTCGGCATATGATAAATTTTTAAATTTGGTTTAAAATTTAAAAACTCTAAATTAAACTGTCCCTTTTAAATTGAAATCTTAATACCGGGATCAGATATTAGTTTCTTTTGAATCTTGTGATTTTTATGTTTAAAATTGCTTATAATGTTTTCTCAGTTTTCTAAAGCTTTATTTATAAACTGTTTGAAATGTTAAATTAATTGTAATATATTTTATTTTATTTTACTTTGAGAAAAATTAAACATAAAATGATGAAGGCAGTAATAGAAATTATCTCATAATGCGGCTAAATATGATGTTAATGCCGCTAATCCAAAATACAGTTGATATGGTGCGTCACGAATTGGTTGCTATTGAAAACATAAAATATTTCATTATTTTTGAAATTCAGAAAAATGTCAATAATTCATTTATGTAGGATTCGGCGATAAGAAACACGTTCACAGTTTTAGAAGAAATTGAACTGACTCTTAAGGAGACAATCGTCTAAATTTCAACAAAGCACGAGGTTTTACTAAACCCGAAAACGTAAGGCATGTAAATCTGCAGATGGGGCGAAGAAAATATGTTCAGTTGTATGTCTATAGAAAAAGCGGTAACAGTTATATGGAAAAGCGGCTACTGTATTTGCTGTAAAATAAGTGCCTAAATTATACGAAATTGGTACTGAATAGTATTTAACCTACTGGTCTTTGTTTTCAGTGTTTGTGAGGAATAACATTTCCTGTAGAAGGAATAGGAAATAAGTATATTTTATGAAAGAAAAAAAATGAACCGTTGGCGAGATCTAGTTAAAACTTGGCGGTTGAATGCAGGGCATGATGGGAAATTGTTTGAGTATGCACACTCGCATTCTTGTTTTTGTTCATTTTTTGTTGAAAATGTCGAAACGACGAATGCATATACATCGTCAAGGCCTACTATTCGAGCATTAACAGCCCGACTGTGGCTCAAAGATAAATCTGATTAAAAGGTTCTAGAGAACTGGTTGTGTTTTTGATGAGAGTGTTGGCGATGTTGGTCGTCGAGTAATGCGAAAGCGCTTGAAAATATCGAGAAAACAGGAACTCTGCTTCAAAATAGCACAAAGACGAGCTTCACAAAAGGTCGGAATCAACCGGGACACTTTGCGACAAACTTGTTCAAGACCTGCAGCTCTTTCCATGCAAAATTCAGACTCGTCTGCCATTCAGACCTATTGCCATTGAATAGTCTTTGTGTTTCAAAGACTATTCAATTTTTTTCTTCAGCGAGTTTCATAAACACTAATGTCGATATGATTGACTTACAAAAATTTGATATGAACATCGTTTGGTTTAGCGAAAGCCTACTTTCAATTAGTAGATGAGTACGTCAGTAAGTAGAATTGCTGCATTTGGGAGAATGAAAATCCCCATTTCGAGAACAAGAAGTCTTTCTATTTGGTGTGCAATGTTAAGGCGCGGTATAATCGGTGTCCTCTCTTTTATCCAAAATAACCCAGAATTCGAAAAGACGGAGTTCAGGCGGAACGGGGCACGAATCGATCGGACCGGTATTGTGTTTGAAATTATGGTTGAACATTTTAGAGAGGCATTCTTTCTTTGAGGTACACCCAAAAGCCACTGGAATGTCAATCGCTTGGCCGGCATTCTCTTCCGATCTCAACCCTTGTGACTTATTTTTGTGAGGCACTATTAAAGTCAAAGTTTACGTAAATAATCCCGAAACCATTACTGAG